CGGAGCACCACAACTCCCTGTCTTTAATCCCTCTCCTCTCCAATGGGCACATTGGCTTGGCTTGGCTCCCCAATCAAAATGCTGTCTGTCAAGAATAATAAGCTTCAGAAGGCCATAGGATGCCAAGATTCCCACAGTCGCCACACTGTGAGAAGCAGATGGCAATGTGCTAAATGGGGGAAAGCCTAGATTCAGTCTTTCTTCAAGGCATCCTCAAAGAGTCAGCCACCTGTTTCTAATGCTGTGGGCCATGACGTTGACTGCAGAGATGCCATGGCTGTTCTTGCGAAGAAAAAGCCTCCACAGCATTGCATTGGTGCATTTATTTATTTATTTAGGAGAAAAGTATAATGGCACTGTAATAAAATTTCCACACACACAATATTGTGCAGCCTCTTACCTGGCCTTGGTTGGAAATTCTAAGAACCCCCCAAGTTATTTATTTTGTTTCTGGTCAATAACAATGTAATGTTATGCTTCTGTTTTCAGCACTTAGGCTAGTGAACAGCTCAAAGGAATAAAGAGTCACTGCTAGCTATTTTTGCTTAGCAGCTAGCACCAGAAAATTCAAATATCTGCACCTGATCATGTCCACAGACCACTTACGCAAGCATCGTTTCTTCAATGTCTTAGGAATAAAACTGAGGGCAGTTCTAGCATATGCCTTCATGAAGATTCATATTAATCATTTTAGAGATCTATTCTAGGGATGCTTGAGGAATTCAATTTCCCTGAACTGACCAGATCAGCACCTCCCACATTATTATGCAAACATCCTTTGGATTCTGCAGCTCTCTGAATTTTATAATACAGTAATCAGCTGGGAAAAAATGTACCAAAATGTGTTTTAAAATGAGTGTGGTAGAATAAAATACATCTAGAAATGCATCGACTGGGATAAAATAACTATTTAAATGTACATTTGTATGCAAACTTTTTAAAAAATCACAGATTAACATGGAAACAAAATGAAATAGATATGAATGAATACATGTGAAATTGACACAGACTGCAAATAGGCCGATCTGTTCATCCCTAGGCTCTTCTGCAATACATATGTATCTTTCCCCTCAATATCATGATAATTAAGCTTTGACAGGAAAGGATATTTTAAGGGACTAGCCAATACTTGCTTTGAATGCCACTTTGTCGAAAGAAGTTGCTGTCTCTGAAAAATTGATTCTGTTGTCCAATTATGTTGACATTGGGTTGGCAGGCAGCACATTCTTGGGTTCATTTTGTATTTGCTATCTTTTAGCTTCTCTTTTCCTTGAGTTATGGGCTATACTGGTAGAATCCAAAAAGAAAAGGGACACTGGGACAGATCCAGATGAAGTTAGCTGCACTTACGTCCCACCGAAATCAATGTATAACATTAGTTGCAATTCAACTTCAATGCTGCTGATTTCAAGGGGAACTAATTGCAGTTGACTAAGTCTAGATCCAATCCATTCTTTCTCCGGGTGACATCATTAAACAGATAAGTGCCAATGAGAAGGAACCTGTGGACAATTGACCCTCCTAAGATAGGTAAGCAGCTTCCTATCACTGAAATGAAGCTCTTCCCACTTCCCTCTCTCCCCCTGCGTTTGTCATAGGAAAACATGGAGAAAGAATACAGGGATATGCCAAAGTGCATAGCAGCTTCTGGAACTTGGAATGCATAAAAATAGTAGATGGGAAATTGTAAGCAACATAAAGAGGAGCCTTCTGGATCAGTCCAAAGATCCATCTAGAACAGCATTCTGTTCTTATAATGGCCAACTAGAAGCCTGTAGGAACTGCATGAATCGGCTCTCTCCCCACTTGTAATTCTCAGCAACTGGTATTCAGAAGCATGCTGCCTCTGACTGTGGAGCCACAACATTACAATCATAGCTAGTATTTTATTTTAAAGCCATCCATGTTGGTGACCACCCATACCTCTTGTGGGAGCGAATTACGTAACTGAACAATGTACCGTGTGAATAATTATTTCCTTTTGTCTCCCTCGACTCTTCCAACAAATCAGCTTCATCGGATCTCCCTGAGTTCTAGTATTATGGATCTGGGAGAGAGAAGAAACTCCTCTACTAAACAGGATAGTGGTTGCTTGCAATCCTCATGCATGACCTCCACTTCACCTTTGCACTATAGAGACATGGTTGAAATTCTCATTTGAAAGACAAAAAGCATCATAAATAGTATAAACAGATACAAATTAAATTTCCCCTAGAGAATTAGTTCCTCCAGCATCACTAAAGCCAGGAAGCATTAGGTTCGAATAGGCAGCACTGACTGCCAGGAAACAGGGATTGACTGATTTTCTGCCGCATTACCTGGAAGGATTTGATTTCCTCATTATCAATCTGTTGAGGTAAATATATTATTCATCCATTAGACTGTTTCTTCCATACAAAGGAACTTGCCTGCAAGGAAGATTCTTCTTCAGCGGCCTACATATGATCAAATACAAGCCATCTCACTTGCTTGGGAAGGAACATGGCTCGGTGCTAATGTACCTGCTTTGCATGCCAAAAAATTCCAGGGTCAATTCCTGTCACCTCCAGATCAGTCTGGGGTTGTCTGGCACCCTCTCTGACACTCTGGATAACTAATGTCAGTCCCTGTAAGCCAGGCATGGGGAACCTCTGGGCTCTTTAATGGTAAAGGGACCCTTTACAGTTAGGTCCAGTTGTGGACGACTTTGGGGTTGCGGCGCTCATGTGGCCAGCATGACTAAGCAGCTTCTGGCAAACCAGAGCAGCGCATGGAAACACCGTTTACCTTCCCACCAGAGCGGTACCTATTTATCTACTTGCACTTTTGACGTGCTTTCAAACTGCTAGGTTGGCAGGAGCTGGGACCGAGCAACGGGAGCTCACTCCATCACAGGGATTTGAACTGCCGACCTTTTGATCGGCAAGCCCTAGGCTCTGTGCTTTAGACCACAGTGCCACCTGCGTCCCTTCTGGGCTCTTTAGGGGGGACTATTTAGCTCAGCACAGCTCCCATGAGGCCGTTTCCACAAAGCTAGGCTCACTTGCCTCATCAAATGTGACATCAGGTGAGGGCCAAGTAGAGACATGGCTGCCGGTGCACAGCTGGCATCCTTAAAGTTTGCTCTTGATTGGGCATCAGCCAGGGAGGTTTGCTGCCACTGCCAATCAGCAGACAGATGGTTAGAGCAAGCCACCCGGGATTGGCTGTGCTACAGGTACTTCCGTAGCTCAGCTGATCCTGGCAGAAAGCAGAGTTTGAAGTCAGTGACTGTCAGATGATAGGAACGGACTTCAACATTGCCAGGATTGGCTGTGCAACTGAGTTGATTGACTGCATTTATATCCCTCCTTTTTCTTCAAGAGGCTCAAGATGGTGTACATGGATCCCCTCTGTCCTCATTTAATCCCAACAACAACCCTGTGAACTTCATAGCTGAGCAGGCATTTGAACATGCTCTCCCAGGTCCTAGACTGACACTCTAACCACCACACCACACTGTCAAGGAGCTCAACAGTGCAGCCACCCTCTACAGAAAGTGTCGAGCCTCATGTCAAGCCATGCTTGGCTTGGCTCAGTTTTTCCTTTGTGGTGCACGTTGCTACAAAGGAGAAATGGGTCTCCTGGTGCCCTGCTCACCTGTTGAAACAGCCCCCAAAAGAAGGAGAGTAAGAGGGAGCTGAATGAGTTAATTCTAGATGAGGCCATTCCTCCTCCTTCCACTGTTCTCGATTGGTCAACTCATCTTAAAGTGCTCCGACAAGATTCCAAAAATATTAACTACCCAACAAGCCTGGCTCAACTGGTTACTTCCAAATGTACTCAAACAGAGGAGAGAGACGGTTATCTTCAGGACCAGTTCCACTTGATATGCACGGACCTCCCCAGCGTGAAAAAAATTCTAACGATAACAAATGGGCTACTTCTGACTCCAGTGGAAAATTTTACACCTCAAGAAAGAGGCACAGAGCCAAATGACACTGACCAAATGAATAACCTACCCGAACCAGCAGATATGAATCACCCAGTAACCAGCAAGAAGTCACAAAGACAAAAACCAGAAACAAAGAAAAAGAAAAGCAAAAATATCAAAACACTAAGGAAATTGAAGATAACCCATTGCGCTCGCAAACAAAACAGCCCCTGAGTTTGAGGGGGGCCAGGATCCAGCCAAATCCACTCCTGCTGTAGACACTACTGAGCAAGATGGACCAATGGTCTGACTCAGACAGATTTTTGGGGGGGGAGCCCCCCCCAATAACCCAAGAAATTAATGAATGTCAGAATCTAGTTGATATTTGGTATACTGAAGGGAAATTGCAGTCTGCAGCAGTTCTCCTGGGTGTAGCCCATGCAAACCAGCCTGGCTGGGCTTGTTGAATGTAGGCCATTATGAAGCAAAAGTCAGGCAACCACACATCAAAGAAAGTGTTTGAGACTGGGCAAAATAGGGGTTGCTGAGGTAACAGGAAGGGGACAGGATATGCTGAGAGGAAAAATATGCCTGTCAGGTGGGATAGCAGGTGGATGGGAGGAGTTGCTTGGAGCAAGGGTTTGCTGGAAAGGAGGAGAAGAAAGGCCAGAACCATATTGGCTGCTGGCTGAAGAGCTGGCAACCCAAAGACTGGAGAACATGGCTGGCTGCTCTAGATTCAAGCTGGCTGTGAAGCCATGAGAGAAGCAGGGAGAAGCCCTCTAGAGATGGCAATGCTGTAACTTCTGCACTCCCTCCATCTACACTCAGGTTGTATATATGTGGATAAACTGAAGTCTCTGCTGCTCCTTCATTTCCACAAAGAGACAAGGCCAAGACCCCTGGAATCTCATGCACTGCTTGGCTTGTAACAAACACTATGTTGCTTAATGTCAAATATGAAGATGATTCAATTTCTTTCCAAGAGAAATTATTGCCTGTCATCATATTAAAACTGCACTTTGTATGCAACAAAGTCAAGACCTTCTTACACGTCGCCCTAAATAAACTTGATGGACTATGGAGAGATAAAGAGACAGATAGCTACCAAGTTAGCACAATGGACATGGTGCGTGGTTTTCACAGTGTTTACGTTCATAAATTCTTCCAAATCTAATTCTGAAGAAGGCCTGAAAAGAAGATAGTAAATATTAAAGCAGCTTGTTACTCTTCTCCAGGGGCCAAAATCATATAGCTTAAAAATGTTTTATTTATCAGACAATAATGCAAGATGTTATTTACTAGTATGCAGGATGTACAATTTATGCAACAAAGCATGAACATTTAAAAACCTGTTCACGGTTTCCCTCAGTGTAATAATTAAAAAGACAGATGGAATCAGATGTATGAGGCGAGAGAACATCTAAAGAAGAGGCACAAGGGCAGCTTAGTTTGCTTTGAATGAATCTTCTTTATACACTGATGAGAGAGAAAGGGCATAGATCTAGGCCAAGAGGAGAGGAAGTTCCCCTGTGAGGAAAGGTTGAAGAATTTGGGATTTTTTAGATTAGAGAAAAGGGAAGTAAGAGGCAACGTGACAGAAGTCTATAAAAGTATGCATGGAATAGAGAAAGTGGACAGAGAAAAGTTTCTCTCATAACACTAGAACTTGTGAAAATATTATTATTATTATTATTATTATTATTATTATTATTATTATTATTATTATTATTATTTAAATGTTGCCCATCTGACTGGGTTGCCCCAGCCACTCTGGGTGGCTCCCAACAGCTCCATGAACTCTTGAAACTGAATGTTAGAAGATTCAGAACAGAAAGAAGGAAGTACTTATTCATGCAGCACATAGTTAAACTTTGAAACTTGCTCGCACAGTTGGCAGTGATGGCCACCAACATGGAAGGCGTAGATGAATTATTGGAGAAGACTATCAATGGCTGCTAGTCATGGTGGCTAAATGCAACCTCCATACTAGTTCCTGGGGGAACAGCAGGGGGAGAGGGATGTTGCCCTCTTCTTCTGCTTGTGGGTTTTCCATAGTTGGTCACTGAGGGATGCTGGACATGATGACTGTGTTCTATATCCACTGCTAAAGGCAATGTGCCCCTGAATGTGATTGCTGTGTCAAAATATTTCCAAAGTGGTTTTTTTTTAAAAAAATACATATTTAAAGGCATATTTGTATTTAAACATGTATTTTTGAATATATTTTGGTGTATGATAATAAACACACATATAATTGATTTTATTTCATAAAAATTGTAACTGCTTGATTATAAAACTAACAAACCTCAGAGTGGTTTACAAAGCAGTTTCTCTCTCTCTCTCTCTCTCTCTCTCTCTCTCTCTCTCTCTCACACACACACACACACACACACACACACACCCCAACAGACTGATGTGGAAACTGGGTAATACAGATGTATGAATACATGCATAACTCACATGGACCTGATATAGACAAATCCATTAATCTACCCTTACTTATCAACACAACAATTTCAATATGTCATGTGCATTGACTCTTGGTCATGTGACCTGGCCCTTGGATATGTTTGAAATCTGTCATAATAGAGAGAACTTGTAGCAATGAATAAGAAAAGAAATGCAGACCTCTTCCCAACATTTACCGTTCTTCTGAATGATTTTCAAACCTCTGTGCCTAGATGAAAGACTGAAATGCAGTTGTATATGACTGCCTAGATAAATACCCAAAGCTAAAAGCTGGCATGCTAAAGGTTAATATGTCATGTATACTTAGGAGCTGTTATTTATTTATCTAAGGAAACTACAGTGGTACCCCGGGTTACAAAAGCTTCAGGTTACAAACACTTCAGGTTACAAACTCTGCTAACCCGGAAATAGTACCTTGGATTGAGAACTTTGCCCCAGGATGAGAACAGAAATTGTGTGGTGGCGGCATGGTAGCAGTGGGAGGCCCCATTAGTGAAAGCGTGCCTCAGGTTAAGAATGGTTTTGGGTTAAGAACGGATTTCCAGAACGAATTAAGTTTGTAACCTGAGTTACCACCGTACAGCAAAATGACTATTAAGCTGTGACACAGAGAAATGAGTACAACATGACAGCAGTCTGGACTTTCGTATCTACTCAGGAGTACCACTAGGAAGCTCATGAGATTGAAATTAAATCTTCTTCCCACCCCCGCCATTACCTTTGAAGAAAAAGACTGATTGATTGCTCATGATTGCCAGTTTTCTGGCATATCAGGAAATGAGAAGCAGACAGTTAAGAGTTGATTCATTTTAAAACAAATGATTTTATGAGCTATTTTGTCATGTTTGAAAGCATGTGCATGTTGCTCACATGAAGAGCCCAGAAGGGGTGTAACACAGTCACGAACGATGTGCTTTGCAAGTGAAAAGACCCATGTTCAGTCTGCAGCATTTTCAACAAATACATTGATATTGGGTAGCAAAGCTGGAAAAGACCTTTGCATGAGATTCTAGAAAGTTGCTGCAAACTGGAGCAGACCTTTTTTTTTTTTTGCTTAGTGAACTAATGGTCAATATAAAGGAGTTTCATATTCTCTGAAGCCCTTGATACAGGCATAGCCAATGTGATGCCTCCCAGTTCTTGTTGAACTCCAGATTCCAGCTGCTCCAGCAATCATGGCCATGGTCAAATCCAGAAATGACTTGAGGACACCAGTTTAGATATTCCTGCATCCCTTTCCCACCCTGATCTGGCCACAGTGATCCATGTGATGGTCAACTCCAGGCTTGATTACTGTGACTCGCTCTATGCGGGGCTGCCCTTGAAGTTGTCCCAGAAACTCCAGTGGGTAAAGAATGCCACAGCAAGGCTCCTTACAGGGTCCTCGCCGTGGGACCACATTCATCCAGTGCTTTTCCAGCTGCACTGGCTCCCGGTGGAGTACAGGGTCAAGTTTAAGGTGCTGGTTTTGACCTTTAAAGCCCTTTGCGGCCTAGGACCCACATACCTACAGGACCGCCTCTCCTAGTATGCCCCGCAGAGGACTTTAAGGTCCATAAATAGCAACACTCTAGAGGTCCTGGCCCTAAGGAAGTCAGATTAGCCTCAACCAGGGCCAGGGCCTTTTCAACACTGGCTCCAGCCTGGTGGAACACTCTGTCTCATGAGACCAGGGCCCTTTGGGATCTGATCTCTTTCCGCAGGACCTGTAAGACAAAGTTGTTCCGCCTGGCCTTTGGCTTGAATCAGCCTGATCCCCTCCCCCTATTTCCTTTTCCTTCTGTGATGGAACCGCTATTTGGGGACTTCCCTGGTTTTTTTCTGGCCCATGTAGGACCAGTCTGGATAGTTGGCCTTGGTGAAGATTTGACGTTTTCTCTCCCCAAACAGTTTTTGATCTGGGCTTCCACTGAAATGAGACTGCATTTTAAGTTGTATTTTAATCCTGTTTTTAAGTTGTATTTTAATTGTTTTTATACCTGATGTTAGCCGCCCTGAGCCTGGTCTTGGCTGGGGAGGGCAGGGTATAAATAGCATTTATTATTATTATTATTATTATTATTATTATTATTATTAGGACACCCTAATTATTATTCCCAACCTCCGCTACTACACTCTCACCAATAGCATCACCTACCTGCAACAGTTAAAAAAGCAGATGAAGTCTAATATTAGTCATACTCAGAGTGGATCCATTGAAATGAATGGACTTACCCATTGATTTCAGTGGCTCTACTAAGAATATGACTGTGAGGTATCAATCAACCTATTTTATAAACTACTTTAAAGGGAAATGTAAAAAAGAGAAAATAAATATTTTGAAGAAGGTAGGTTTCCATTTGATTTATTAAATTCATTGTACATGCATTGTTAAAAAACAATTAAGCATATGTGATCATACCCTTTCCTATCTGAAATGTTTTAGCACAGTAACCCTGGATTTACAACAGCTGTCCTCATTTCCTTTCATGCCAAGTTAATCAGATTCAACAGCCATTCCTATAAAATACGCCACATAAGGATGTATAGCTTTTGTTTCTTTATTTCCATGGATATGTCTGCTACTCTACCCCATGGCTATCTATAGAAAATTCAGAGTGCCTCGGATATTCACTGAGTTTCCAAAAAATAAATAAAAACCCTTCTGCATATGTGTGCAATTTCCTCCAGCCTGACTCTGACAAAAGCTGTTTTTCCCTTTTCTCAATTGCTTGCACAAAAGTTTTTTCAATGCATGCAGACACTGGCTCTAGAAAGTTCAGCACTTATGCATTATGTAGGTATCTCCAGGTAGTCAGTCTAGAGAAAACCCTTCATGGCAGAAATGAAAAAAAGTTGTGAAATCTGTTGTCAGCTCAACCTCTGCTGAAAAGAGTCTCTCACTCAAGCTTCTCACTTTCAGCCTTTGTAGTGAGATGACATGATACTGGGCACAACAATAAAGGATCTGCATACACCAGTATGTAAGTGTGTCGTGCTTCTAGTCACTGAATTGCTGTTGCAATGTGAAAATAGGAATGTTACATTCCTGGGAGCGCCACTCTGAAAGATACTGCTAAGATACCTTGGGAGGGACAGAAAAGCTAATATGCAGTGAACATAGCTGTCAACTTTTCCCTTTTCTTGCAAGGAATTTTATTCGGAATAAGGGAATTCCCTTTAAAAAAGGGAAAAGTTGACAGCTATGGTAATGAAAGGTTTCTATTGTACAGTGGGGGTTTTTTGGGGGGTGGCTACATCACCTTGGGAACCTAGTCAATGCCAAAAACACAAATGAAATAGAAAATGAATGTCATCTATAGGGCTGATTAGCAATGCAACTGCAGGAAGTAGTACCATTTTGGACAGTATCTTGGCCTGAACTAAGTGTTTCCATTTGTTGATTTTTCCTGGATTTCTCATGATAGACAAATGAAATGACAGCTCAGTCATTTCTCCTCCTCGCTAGCTCCACTCCACCTGCGCTGGGCTAGCTATTAAGTGAAATGAAGTGGGTTGGGTTGGTCAGAAGGTTCCAGAGAGGATGGCATTTTCTACCTCACACTGTTGACAAAATGTGCATAGGAGCAGCTACTGTTTTAGATTCCTGACTGAAAATGCCTGATGTTTAAGATTACGTAGCCAAAGATGTAATGATGTGTGCTTTTGCGACGTATACAGACACATAAGAGCATAAGAAGAGACTGCTGGATCAGACCAATGGCGACCTGTTCTCACA